ATGTTTTTGTATTCTTTTACAGAACTTCAAATACTCTTCTAATAATGAAAGACCTGACATCAAACTAATCAGTAAAAGAATACCACATCAAAAAGTCATAAAAATAAATTGTGCAAATTTACAGAATACATCCATATGTATCCCATACATATGTATGTATATGAATGTTATGAACTATTTGAAGTGTAAGTGTCAGTGCATATACCGCGTCGCTCGTTTTAGAAAAACCACGCCAGACATATAGTTTAGGAAAAACCATGTAGAGAACCTCGTCAATTTTCAAGTGAACCGAAAAGCCCAAATATGAGTTCATCCTGCTTTAGAAGAAGGCAAACTAAATTCGCGAAGCAATTTATTTAGTGTGGAAACACCTTAAGTCATTATTAATGTCTAACAAAAAGGTGAAAATCATAATAATACATACACCGTTTTTAAATTTATGAACATAAGTACATAAGTATATGAATACGCATGCATATGTATTTATACTCGTTAAATTCGACAAAATTTGATAAAAAAAAAAGTGAAGAGGAAAATGTACATCGGAAGCTAGAATTGCTAAATCGAAACAACGAAATAAAAGTCAAAGCAAGCTAAAAAACAACACCAATACATTGTATCCTAAATTTGTTTGCTCTTCAATATTCTACGCTAACCGTTGGTGAGCTCATAACGAATAAAATGAAGTACTTGTTGGTGTGAGCTAAATATACATACATATTTCTCGCTGATTGTGCCTCTCTCGTATCACAAATGTTAATTATTTATCTCTGTTCATTATTTCCTTTTCTGTTTAAAATTTTGTATGTTTACGGACTCTTTGCGTCGATTTGTCCCTTATAATGGGTGGCTTCTTTCGCTCTCATAAGATGGTGAGCTTAAAATGATGTATGTATGTATACAGGCAAGTGAGAGGATTTTGATAGCGAAGCTCAAAAAAGCAAATATACGAAAGTATCTGCATATAATATATACACATCCCACAAGGAACCGAACAGAATCACGATTTTTCGCCTCCAACGATCGGCTTTCCACTGAGACCGTGTTCTTTGCAATTTTACATGAAGTGATTCTCTTCCGCATTAGGCATTAAAATTGCCCAAGGA